TGATATCTATGACCGTGATATTACCGATTGAGGGGGTGAGACTGAAAAAATCGTTCATTTGGTTTTTTAAAGACCACCCTAATCTACATACATGAACATCTACTTAAGAGTAACTATTGCTAACAAGCCTTACAATCTGTTTGCAAAACCCTACAAATGCAATATCTTATGCCGCAATCATACCACCCCCCAAACTGTGCGCACAGCGTTAAAACGTATGGTGGCTTAATTGTCATTTAAAATACATAAATACATGCATACATGCCGTTATAACGGGTGATTTTTTTGAGGTTAGGATTTTCATGCATTAGTATTTGACAGATCACGTGGGATTTCAGACATGGTGTCAAAGAGAAAGATGCTCAGTATGCTTTGACATTTCATCATGAATAGACTTACTAACGAGCAACGCTTGCAAATCATTGAATTTTATTACCAAAATCAGTGTTCGGTTCGCTTTACGTCCGATTTATGGTCTACATAATCGACCAAGTGAGCAAACAATTAATGCGATTGTGACCAAGTTTCGCACTCAGTTTACTTTATTGGACATTAAACCAACCACACGAATGCGTACAGTGCGTACAGAAGAGAATATTGCGTCTGTTTCTGAGAGTGTTGCTGAAGACCGTGAAATGTCGATTCGTCGCCGTTCGCAGCAATTGGGTTTGCGAAACACATTTCGAACCGAACACTGATTTTGGTAATAAAATTCAATGATTTGCAAGCGTTGCTCGTTAGTAAGTCTATTCATGATGAAATGTCAAAGCATACTGAGCATCTTTCTCTTTGACACCATGTCTGAAATCCCACGTGATCTGTCAAATACTAATGCATGAAAATCCTAACCTCAAAAAAATCACCCGTTACAATACATATTGAATTGTCAACTCGGCTCATGTTCGTTAATTTGTTGACAAATCGTTATATTAATGGATCTATCAAATAACACAATAACACAATAACAACAAAGAGCGCATTGAGAACTTCTAAGCAGAGTGGTGCGGTGGAACACATTCTCGCACTGCTATGTCTATGATGAACGTTGATTTGTTTTCCAAATCCATTTGTGGGATTTTCTTCAAATAACAACAACATACATACATATATCAATCAGCAACAATAAGAAAAATAACAAAAATGCTTAAAGCAAAATTTCGGAAGGTTTGCATAAATTTTTACGGTTTAAAAATAAATACATCTCACTTAGGGGTTGTTGAACGCACAAAAACCGCATCGCAACACGCCACTTCCCACCTCACTCAAGCACTACTTACACACACAGATAGATGTTTGTACTGCGGCAACGATAAGCTATCCCCGCGGGTATAATTTTTGTTACGCCCGTACCAAGCTAATATTGTTGCTATTACTGTTGTTGGTTTTTATTTTTCTTTTTCGCTTCTAACGCCAAGTATTCTACATCCTATATCACTCATCCGCTGCCGCATCTACTTGGCAACTACATACGAATATATATATAGTTATATATTCCTCGCAGCTTGATTTCAACTATACTCCATTAGCATGCTCCCGTGCGTGTGTGTGTGTGTGTATTCCCGTCTATTTGATTGTTCGTGTATGTGTGAAGGTGTATGTGACCATATCCTGCGCATCCTTAAACGCTTCCGAAACCATGTCCAACAGCCGGCAAACGACTTTATTTACATTGCAAATCAAAATGCGATCTCTGTGAGTTACGCCGAGTCAAACAACCACACCGCATTACATACATATTGAAATTAAGTGAAATGATAATTTGTGATTTTGATGTCCGCTTACTTCATTTTTACGAGAATTTGTATGAATATCCTGCATTGCGTGCACAAAGCTACGTGTGTGCGTATGGACGGTTGGCGTTTATCGACTCCTTTGTGATATGGATTTCTCTTGCCATTGTTATTGTTATGCTTATTATTGTTTTTGTGGTCGGAAGCCTCTCAATTAAAGCGAACAACTAAGTAAACAGAGTGATTTTCTCAAATGACTGCACTCAATTGGTTTCGCGCGGAATTTAGTCAGCAATCCAACGTTGGAAATTATTTCGTTCACAAACATGTGCAGTTACATGCATACAGATGTAACTACATATACATATGTATGTATTATGAGCCTTGTATATTTAAATACAACTTATGAGCAATGAAGGATTTAAGTACAAGCACCCATATGCACACTTCGATCCATACACAAGTACATATATATACGTATATGTAGGTAAATCAGAAGTACAAATCCCATCAAAAATATCAGACATGCTCTAATATCGTATTCCTGCTTCTCATTAAGGCTCGAAATTTGCAAAAAAAGGTACTCGACTGTTTCCTCTTCATTTTCATGCCTGCAGTTTCTACAGAAGTCGTTATAGGCGATTCCCAGTAAGAATCGCTGCTAGCCTTGCAACGTCAGGTCTGGGTATACGATTTCTGAAGATTGTTGAGAAAGATTTATCCTTATATGGTTCCAATTAGGGGTGAGACCGAATCTCGATCCAGGCCTACGTGGAACCCTCTCTGGCTAACTCTTACGCAGCCAATGCGATTACCAAATCTATATCTATCTGACTTGTTACTGAGCCTTACACTCTTTGATCAGTTACGACCTTGTTGTAAAAGATGCCAACGTCTGGAAACCCCTTGCGAAATGGGCCAAATGGATTGATCTTCTTAACCCCAGGGATTCAGAGAAAACGCCTGCTGATGTAACCAGGCGGAGATATTAAAGGCCTGTGAAATTAGACTTCAGGTCGCATGCAATCGATACCCAGTCTTCTCTTCCCGATCGTTATTTCTTTTCATACACCCAGTAGTGTTGTGGTATGCATTATGTCAAGGTCCACAGGAAATCGGTTTGTATGGAATATTACCGAGGGCGTCCGTAGGGCATGTTCTCCATTGCACCTGTGTGTAGCGATGCATACGGTTTTTTTTTTTTATTTTGCTTTCCTTCAACGCCAACCTCTTTTGCATATTTTTCTAAGCGGGAAAATGCTTTGTTTATGAGAATGGTGCAGAGGCTGACGATGTAGTTTGCGTGTGTAGCGTCGCACGAAAAGTAGTACTGCCTAAAGCCTCATTGGGTCTCGAACGGTCCGAGGATGTTATTCCCAATTTGGACGAATATTCTGGACAAGCTTAAAGGTAATATGTATGTATGTATGTGCTTATTTACTCAGCCAGTGGCTCGCTTGAGTTAAACTAAGGTTGCAAACAGAGTGGAAGCGAAGCTGAAGACGAATTGCTTGCGTTGCGGGCAAGCTGGCGAGCGTACATAGTGGAAGATGAATGATATGAAGATTTGTTTCTAAATAAAACCCTTTTTTTAGATAAAATCAAAAGAAAATAAAGAAAAAACAGCAATTCATGAAATAATTTGTATAGGACAACTTTTGGGGAATTTCGCCACTTGTATTATGTGTTACGGCAAGACGGACAGACATTTTTCGAATATACAAGAATGCCAATTAATACGTTTGATTACATTTTGCCAGAAATTTAGCCAATTGCAAACAGTTAAATAAATTATAAACAACTCATCACAGCAAGCGATTCGTCTTTGAAAACAGTACCGCACTGTTTCAAGCTGACCGTTTGCGCAACGTCTTCATCTTCGTCTTCGTCTTAGCTTCCACTCTGTTTGCAACCTAATGCCTTCCAAGGAAAGCTAATACCAATAATTTTCCAATTCAACATTCATTTCGTTTTTTCTGGGTTTCTACCGTCAATATCCCATAACTTGCTGACATATGAATGCCGAAATTCCATTAGCCATTGAAAAAAAAAACTAAAATGAAAATATGTATCATTTAAATTTCCATTTTCTCAAGTAGCATAATTTTTCTGCCCTTCAAACACAAATTTCGTTCTGAAAATACGTGTTTGAAGGGCAGATAAATTTTATTATTTTTTAACAAATATAAATAATTTACTTTTCAACTTTGCCATTTAAATTTTCAGCACTAAAAGCTTTTATGTTTTTGCATAACCCGTATGAAAATTGTCTAAAGTTTTTTGAACCTTAACAACCAATATGTCACTGAAAGTTCTACCAGGCCTGTCTCGGTTCTTGATTTCGACTAAATCGCTGGAATCTGGAATTCGCGCCCGGAACGTAAAAACATAGACGATTTCAGCTAGAAATAAATTTGCGAACATTTATGAACACTAAAAAAGTACAAGAGCGAATCTCATGAGTTGTTACACTTTTCGACAAAAGCGTGATTTTGGTTGAAAATGGAGTTACGCCGATCTTAGAAAATGCACTATCTTCAGTTTTGTGTAAAGAACAAGATTCCATCGCGAAAACATATAACAAAATAATGTAACGATAACCAAATCATGTGTTGAGATAAATATATTCAGCTGGCACTTTGGTCTGCTAAACAAAAAAGCAAAGACAAGGTGAATAACTCAGTGAGAGGGGAGACCACTATGTTTACATGAATGCATTTATATTTAAAAAAAATATTTATTGGTTCAAAAATTGTGGGTAGGCACTGTGGCCAATGGTAAAGTTCGTTTACCACCTCTGCACGGTTGTAGGCCATGCAGAGTCGGCAAAATGCTCCGGAAGCAGTGTCCGGAGGATGCATCGGACTAGGCCGAGCATACTTTGAAGTGCCATCTAATCAAAACTTAAGAAAGTTCAATTACATGGCAGTTGAGAAGTGCATGTGCAAAAATTTCCTAAATAGCATAAAGGAAATTTTTGCACATACAGCAGTACATAGCATGTATTTAGGCGCCTGGTGTTAGCAGTCGCGCCTAAACACAAGGAGTCGTCAAATTGAATGAAATTTTTCAAAAGTCCTTATCGCCTCGAAAGGGAAACGTCTACGCTCTTCACAGTTGCTGTAGAATTTACGACCTAGATATGCATACAATTTTGCAGGCTCTAACAAATACAGAGCTTTCAGTTAGCGAAGCTGTGCCTAAGTTCATATGTACATATGTATATAAATAAATACAAATTTATATTGTAGAAATACATATAAAACTTACCTCCACACGCTCCTCCTTCAGATCGACCTTCAGTGCTAACTGCTCGCGCAACACCACATCGGGATAATGTGTCTTATCGAAAGTCGCCTCCAGCTGCTCCAATTGTTCCTCGGTGAAAATTGTGCGATGACGACGCTTTCGTTTCGGCGGTGGACCATGTCCCAAATGATGCGCCACATGATGATGCGGGTGATGAGGATGATGCAGATGATGCGCATGGTGGGGATGTGTGTGTGCGGCCAAGGCGGCCGCCGCAGCACCATGACCGCTGACATGCGCCTGCATTTGCGCTGCAGCCACATGAGCCACCGCGGCGGCATGCATGTAATTTGGATAGAAGTTCGGGTACGCAACTGTGAAAGAGTTGAAGAAAAAACGCGCAAGGCTGGAGTAAGTTAGGGGTAGAAAAGGGCAAATTAAAATGTTGTAAATGAAAAAAGTTATTTTTTTTTTCTGTGCTTCATTCGTGTAACGTGATATTTTTCGGTAAGAGGAGTAGTAAGCCAGTAAAAACTCTCCGAAAAGCAGCGGCATAAATGCATTCATGTTTGCAATGTTTTGGTTTTTTTTTCAGAACTTTTTATGATTTCATTTACGCATATACACACATACATACCAAATATTTTTTGTTGATTTTACAGAGCTCAAAAAGTAAAAAATAACTTTTAGCGTTTGAATATTTTAGCGCTGATTTAAATTTTCAAACATTTTAAGCATATTTTACATATTCGTATATTTATGTTAAGTAAAACCCCACTCGTTTTCGTTTTGCTTGATTGCGTATAAATCTATGACAGGATAATTTTAAAAGCTGCCTCTAGCTTTGACACAATATGAAAAGTAACTTACGAGCCTTTCCGCTTAAAAATATATATAAATGCTATGAATATACGTACAATATTTTCCTGTCGTATTAAGCAAATCAACAGCTGTAAATCTCCTAACCTTTAGAAACACCTACCCCGTCCTAACCCATAATAAGCCATAAAAAATCATCTTTTGCGCTTCATTGCGTATTTATGTATGCGTAATTCACTCATTCCTTAAATCCTTTTAACGATTCGAATGCTAAGTAAAAAATATGTTAAAAAAAAAATAACGATAGATACGCAAATGCTACGGCGGGTGGTGCGTTGTGGAAAAAATAACTGTAAAACATAGACAATGTAAAAGCATAGTCACATACATACTATGTACTTGTAAGCTCAAAATACCTTCAAGCGGCTGTTGAGGCCAATGAAGCCGCAACAAAGCTTTCATTCGTATTTTTCCTATCTTTGCTACTCAGTGGTATTTATGTAACTNGGCATGGGGGGGGGGGGGGTTAAGGTGATTTATGGGTAAGTGTTAACGCTAAGGTTATAAGCGTGTTACTAGAAAAAAATTAGTCCTTTTAAGGGGCATAGCTAAGTGTATGCATATATGATAAAAAACTTCGACGTACCGTCATTCTTACGGCTAAAGCTATTTATCTACATAGGTATATATCTTGCTTAGAAATGCTCTTAAATTATTTTATTGCTCCCCAATATATATACATACATACATTTAGGAATGAATCATCGTTTGGAAGGCACTCTTGGGTTACATTTTTATTTTTTTTTTTTTTTTGAGGCCATCTTACCTGCATTACTATGGGCAGATTTCTCAATGTCTGGGTGAGCATTATGAAGTACATAAACGTCGTCTGTATATATAAATTCAACAAAGTATTTATTTTTTTACAAATTAATATGATATACATAAAGCCTTTGGAGACATTGAGAAATCGGTTCCAAAAGTAAAAGAACAGACTCCAAGATTAACCTACTAAATTTTAGTAAATCAGTCATTGATTTTATGTCAATTTATAAATTCATATACATACTTTAAAATTTCCAACGTTGTAACAATTTAAAAAAAATTTTAAAATTTTCGACAGAATTTCAACCTTCAAATTCAAACTTTTTTTAGATATGTAATTTTTTTGTCGAATACGTTACGCATTTTCTTCCATATCACGAATGATCACATGTTATTTCATATGGAAGAAAAGCGCAATACCGTCAACAAAATAATTCCCAAAAACCAACGGTATTTTGTAGCGACCTCAAATTTGCACTACGTTATACTAAAACTGAATGGGCTATAAAACTGCATACCCAAAAAAATCTAAAAAATCTGAATAAAAAGCGTGAAATTTTGATGAAAATTTTACGATTTTTTTTAATTATTACAAGGTTAGAAACTTTGAGTTATATAGATTTTGTAGTGGTGTGATCTATATTTTTATTAAAAATTTATAAAATTCAAATAAAATAAATACGCTCAGCCTTTATAGTTTGCAGTGTGACCAGATGATCACAACAAATAAAGCTAAATTTACTTAAAAAAAAATGTTAGAAAAAGTTGAATGCATTCTTGGTTCAGAACATTATACCGTTCAACACCCGAAAAATAAGACACAAAAATTAATTTTTATTTTTTATTCCATAAAAACGAGTAGAAATCACAATAGAGCTGCGCTGGGTTTTGTGACTTTGTTACAATAGGAGGATTAATTTCAGAGGCGTTTCAGTGCGAACAGCTGTTTCCACAGGGCAGTCGACACTATCGAGATTGGACTGAACAACAACCTGTTGGACCATAATTGAAAATAACCAGAGACTTATGAAATGGTAAAGAGTTTTAAGTAAATCGTAATTTAATGTAAATACTATATTTATTGGTTAAAGTTAATTCAATGGTTTACTGCGGTACTAAAACTTAATAAGAGGAGGTAAATAAGGGTATTTCGAAGGACAAAGAACAGAGAAAGTTAATAACAGTAAGTTTGTAAGATTGAGGCTAATAATGACTACAAAAAAAGTGAACGTAATCGTAGTCTTAAGATTTTGTGAAAAATTTTGTGATCTTATTAATTTTAATACAGTTTTGAACTCTGGGATTACTTTTACTTCACTCAGAAGAAAGTCGGCCAAATATATTTATCTCAACACATTATTTGGTAACTATAACCAAATAATGTAACTACATATAACCAAATAATGTGTTGAGAGAAACATATGTCAACTAAATATATTTCTTAGTATGGGTGGTGTCTGAAGCTTTTCGCCCGATGGGTTGAAAAAAATTACACACATTCGCGTCTTTCGCAGGGAGTCTATACATATGAGCAAATTTCACGAGCTGTTACATTTTTACACTTAACTTAGAAAATGCATTATTTTTCAGTTCCAGAACAATATTCCGACGCGAAATTGTATTTAAATGAAAATTTGAAACAGATATGGGTGTTTCCAGCGGAAGGTCCACCACGACAAAAAAAATAAAAGTTTTATATCTAACGTATTTACGGGCCGATTTGTCTGCTTTTTAAAATATATACTGGCTATGTAAGTAGAATCATGTTTGCATAAAATGGTCTTCCTAGGTGGTGCCAAGGTCGAGATATTTCGATAAACCGTATTTATGGTCCGATTAGGTTCGAATTTGGCGTATGTGGTTGAAACATAATAAATCATAGATTTCTAATAAATTGACCCTGAATTGGCGCTGAAGTCAAAATATAAAGTATATTCTACATAAAATACATGTTTTATTTGCGTTGAAAATTCATTTAAAAGCCATATGAACAAAAATATAACGATGGAAATTTATGTCACGTGACGCCACGTCACGTCACGTTTCACACTTGGGGTTGTAAAAGAGAATTGAAACAATTTGCATTAATTCAAAAAACTCTAAAAACAACTAGAATTGCTCCAAATCATATTAAAATAAGTTTCATGAAAATAGCCATCCACAATTCGCAGAGTTTTGCGATTTTGTAAGAAAAGAAAAAATCAACTTCCATTTTTTGTCACGTAACGACACTCTCTTTAAATGCTTATATTTCAGGACCAAGCAGTTCGATTGATTTCATTTTTCGGTTAAATATAGAGCTAATTATGTGCTATACAATGGCCCAAAAAAGTTAAAGAAAACAAATGGTATTCCTTTTTTGTATCACATTGAAATCGTACGACTGTCACGTGCGCCACCATGGGAATGCCCATATACTAACTTAAAAAAAGTAGAAATAACCACTCGTGCTCATATACCCGTAGTTGCGTATGTAACGTATACGCCCCGTAGCTCCATTCACAGTAATCTGAGGCACGGCGCATTAGAGGGATACGATACGTGATACGATAGGCGATGCGATAAGTGATACGATATGCAGTGCCGTCGAGATAAAACTCGGGCCCCGGACTGAAAAATTACCGGCCCCTATACGTAAATTGTATTGATTCAAAAGCATGTGATCATTTGTTTGAATATATAGAGCCAGAAACAATCAGCACGAATCGGAATATATTTCTAATAAAGAAGGAGCAATTATATTTAAAAAAAATTAATAAAAAGTTATGGTTCTGATATTTCAGGCCCCTCCCTCTCGACGGGCCTGACGATATGAAAGCGACATCGACATGCTGAGTACGTGGAACTTGATAGGAAGGGATGAAAACTGTGCACACTTGCACGACAGCGTCACTGCGGCGACATATCGCTTTGTGGTCATCGGAGAGGATTCATTTTAGCCTCATTGGCCTATTAACTGAGTGTATGTCATATCAGCCTAGCTTTTGTGTTCTAGCTTTATGCCATGTTTTTCATGTGAAGCTGCGCGCTGGCTTCAGCTTCAAACACATTTGGCTTTCTTTCAATTTTACTCCCAACATATCATCTACAAAGTCCTTGATCCGCAAAGCTCTCAACTTATGCATTTTTTGCAGTTGAAAGTTCACTTTCTTCGCCTATTCTTGCTCTGCTATAGTTCGAAATGTCCTTTAAGTTCTTAAAACTTAAATTACAATTTTAATAACTTCCTATAAACACAAAAATGCTATAAGTACTTGGGCTTATTCAAGTTAATCAAAATAATAAACATATTTTTCATGGAGATTGATAAAAAACGGAATAAAAACCAAAGTACATACCTAATCAACGAATTTCTAACCAAGTTGCCTGATATGGAATTGTTTATTACTGTTAAGGGATGAATAAAACATATAAACAAGCCACCAACAATAGAACGGACCAATTTCAAAGGAGTTTGGCTTTGGAGCAATGCCAAATTGGACGTATAATCGTGCATACATCCAACTTCCGTCGCACAGTCGTTCCAAACTGGCATTTAGTGTTCACAATTCACCGGAGCCTTAATTTTTTACTTAATTTAATTTGCAAGAGACCACTTGAGCCTGATTTTTGAATTTTTATTTGATTATATTAAATTTTTTAGGGCAAAGTGCAGAAAAAGTACCAAAGTGGAAGAAAATCCATTTTCCTGTTCCAGTTAATAAATGTTTCACAATAAAAACTAGTTGAAAACAATTTAGGGTTCTCCCAAAAGGGGAAAAAAATCGCGAGAAATATTTTAAATGTTCTAAAAAATTTCAAGGTGCAGAAAAGTTAGATACAACTTTCATGAAAATCCATTCTCCTGTTCCTAGTTGAAAACAATTGCTGGGCTCCCCCAAAACGAATTTTTTTTTTTTGATTGAAATGTAACTAAATTTTCACCAAAATTTATTATTTTTTCTTCGGTTTTTAGAAAAATTCTCGGAATGCAGTTTTATAGATCATTATATTTTAGTACAACAAAGTAAAAGGTGCAAGTGCCTAATTCGGCGTTTCCACCCAATTACCCTTCGCATTACCTCATTTGTTGGTAATTCAGATCTAATTACCATGCGAATTACGAACAAATCGGTGCCGTCTCTAATTTTTATCGGAAAAATTAAGCTTGCCGTGGGAAAATGGTATAGGAGTTGGCGTTGTTTTTTTTAAATATAACAAACGCTTTAATTTATTAAAAATCAACGCGATCTCTGGCCGCTTGCAGCTTGTACTTTATTATAAATTATCTATAAAACTGCATATCCAAAACTTGTAGTAATACTCTTTTTTTTAATTTTGGTAAAAATTTTGTTTATAAATTTCAAAATTTTTCATGTGAATTTTTTTTCGTTTTGTAGGAAACATACAATTGTGTTCAACTAGGTTTTATTATTTAATATTTATTAACTGGAACAGGTGAATCAATTTTCTTCAAAATTGCTACTTTTTCTGCACTTTGCACTAAAAAATATAAAATAAACAAATAAAAATTCAAAAATCTGACTCAACTGATCTCTTGCTAGATTCGTCAGCTTTCGTTAAAAAAAAATAACAATTAATCAAATTGGTTGAAAAGTGAAGGCTCCAGTGAATTATGGACAGTAAATTCCAGTTTTGAAGCACTGTGCATCGATACTTTGACAGGATGAGATTTGTGAACGTCGATGTAGCCCATGCACCAAAAAAAAAACAAGCCAAACAAATTTTACCTGCAGTGGAATTCTGACAATCGCTACGCTAAATTTCCATCGCCAAAATTTTCTAAATGAAAATCAGGGGGGCCTAAACGTACGCAACATTACGCAAAGCTGGCAGTATGATAGGCATGTATTTAACTAGATGTTGAATGTTGTTAGGCGCGCCTGCTATTCTTTCAGAGATTTTTAGCGATCAAAATTGGCGGTAGCGAATGCTGGAATTCGGCTGCTGCTCCTTGTTACGCGTTTTAAATTCAACAAAAAATCACTTCAAAAGTGTTTCTTTAAAATATTGGTTATTAATAAATACTGAAACTAATTTAATTAGTCCTTGATGAATAATCTTCCGACGTTTATACCAAGAAGTATTTCGAAAGAAAACGCGTTTTTATATTAAGGTAAGGATATGTTAACATACATAAATAAAAATATCAGTTCCTAACTTAAAACTCAATCTCACCAAAAAAAAATGTTGTACCGACTTAAATGCTTTTGCCAAGACACACAACAATTTTGTTGGCAAAAGGTTCGCAAAAAAGTATCAAATTTCCTAATTCGATAAACCGGCAATCCTACAATAGTTACTCACCTAAGAAATCGGACGGTGAGGCGGCAAATCCGGTCGCTGCTGCTGCGGCCAAATGTCCCAAATGCAAGCCGGGATGTTGCAGCATAGCTGGAACTCGTTGTGGTCGTATGGGACTTGTTGCCGCTGAGCTGGAGTTAGAACTGGGTGAGGCGGGAGAATCGGCCCGTTTTGTGCTGCCGATGCTAATATGATTGCTATTATTGTTGCTGTTGTTGTTGATGCTGTTTAAATTGTTGCTATTCACAGCTGACCTCGAGCCACCCAGAATACTGTCAATTGTAAAAAGTGAAGCGGCTGCCGCCGCAGCAGTTGCTGTAGCTGGCGCAGGTCGGGATGGACGCTCATCATCAATTATGGTAGCGCCCGATTGGGAGCCATCGTCGGAGGAAGGAGTTTGTGATTGTGGCTGTTGTTGTGAGTGCTGCTGTTGGTGTTGCTGTTGTTGCTGTTGTTGTAGATGGTGTTTCTGCTGTTGTTGCTGCAAAACGGATTGCAAACGTTGTCCCAAATAGCCGCACTGCTGCGAATTCAAAAGCATGGCGGTCGTCAAATACGCAGCGTTCGGTGTAGTCGCGGGTGGGGATCGCGAACTCTGGCGGCCATGGTTTGCGTGTTGCAGGTTGGTTTGTTGTTGTTGCAGTTGATGTTGCAAATGTTGTTGTTGTTGTTGTTGTTGCTGCTGATGGTGATGATGCTGAAGCTGAAGCTGGTGTTCACTAAGCGGGCTGCCCTCGCCAACCATGCCGACGGCATAACGTTTCACAGCAATGCCGCTGGGAGGAGTTGTAGTCTCCACCATATTGCTGTGCTTGTATAACAACGGGAAATTGCTGATGTTGTTGGAGGTGTTATGCGACAGCGATAATGGCGGTGGTGTTGGTGGCGGCGATGTTGGTGATGGACTCGGCGTACTGACGACGGTTATTTTGAATTTTGGCTGTTTAGCACCTTTGGATTCCAGTCCACCGACCAGCTGGGTGGGCGCGCTCCACAACGAAGACAGAATTTTGACGATTTTTATTTCAACTTAATCACGGGAAATTATATTTTAATTGGCGAACTTTCAGTTTATTAATACTCTTTTGTTTATTTTTCACTTAAAATTACATTAATCTTTTTTTTTACAAATTGTTTACTATTTAATAAAAAAATCTTTGGTCTAATCTTGTAATCAGGTAATCGCTTACACACTTAGTTAATTTGCAATAATACACGCGACGCTTAATGCAGTAAATCGACACAGCTTACGCACTGACCATTGTCCGACAGACTACACGCGCGTTCCAATTCGATTCGCTTCCGAAAGCTAATTTTGTTTAATCCACAAAAATGTGCGTTAAATGTAGCTGCCGACCAACCCTTCTGACTCGAAAGACGAAACTGTTTTGCCTATCCTTTATCGGCGATACCACACTGGCATCATTCAGTCAGCTTGTGTTACTAATACATGTAAACAGCTACATAATCAGTCAAGCATTCGTATTTTAAACCTGTCATACAACTTCTAATTCCAGACGACATCTTTTTACTGCCACCCTCCATATAAAACCAGTTCGAACAATGCTCTGGCATTCAGCAAGACTTAACTGTAATGCAGCAAGCAGGCCTGCATTCAGGCAGGCAGGCAGACAACATACCTTGCAACCAATCAGACTACCCCAGCATTGACGTTGATTTTGCGCAAAGAGAGAAAATTCGTTAGGACACACCTATTCCTTAGCTACCATATTGGAAAATGAATCAGACTCTCCAAAGAGAGCCCTCACCATCGGAGCATGTAATAGGGGAGTCACTTCTCTTTCTCACACACAAATTTATAGAGTCATACCTAGTCATAAAATGGGTACAGTGGAACAGTGTTGTTATTTGGTCACTGCATTTTATATATTTCCTTAAACTGAACTATTGCTTTTAAAAAATTGCAAAACGTTAAAACGCTCTCCTTTCTACAAGTGCAATACAAATCCTCTTCAATGAATTATAAGTTGTGGATTAAAAATTATGGTTTGGCCGGAACTATTCATGTATTCCGATATCCTCCTTTCGGACACTAGTGTATACGGATAAAATCCGGATAAAATTTTTCTCAAAATGAGTGAATCTATTGAGTTCTAAAATTTATAACACTGGCCGACTGGCGACTGTTGTTTTGGTGCAAAGGTGCTATAATTCTTTTTTATATTAGGACTTTAAAGCAAAATCACACTATTGCACAGCGGAGCGACGATAGGGATGGAAAGGTTGACTTTAGTTAAAAATCGACTTTTTTCGTTCGGCTGCTTTAAGTAGAATGGAACCGACTCTCTCTCGATGGCTTTTCGACTTTTGTCTACTTAAGTTTAATTTTAAAGTTTCTACATCCGATTGCGGTAGTGTAAACCTTCACTTCAATTATGTAATATTCAAAATATGGTAATACTGTATTTATATAAACGACATTCAGCAACAAGCGTTCAAGACAACGCACAATTTTATAACGACTCCCAATTTAATATGAGTTCACTGGTTTCTGAATTATTAAATTCAGTTACGACGCCAATTTTTAGACAAAGTTTCAAAAGTAACCTGATTCAATTCAACGTTTCTCTCATGAAGGCGTAATTCAAGCTAAATATGCGCCTTTTTGCGCTTTTTAATTTTAACTCGCAAAAAATTATTTTTTATGCCGACCATTGGAAATGAATGTATGAACAAAACATAAGCATTTCTGCCGCATAACGCTCTACTAAAGAAAATATTCTTAAGTTACAATAGTTTCCAAAAAATATTTCTTAAATAGGCAAGGATATTTATTATAACAGTAAAATAAGTAAAAAACAAGTAAGAAAGTCTAAGTTCCGGCGCAGGTACCGCTACATGGTAAGCCGGTGTGTATCAGTTTTGAGTAAATTAGCGTCCTTCAATTTCGAAATATTGAAGTTTTAAGCATTTCTGAAATTTACCGTTATATGAGAAGCGGCCGTTATTTTAGTCCGATTTCAATAATTTTCAACGTTTTGCTTATATGTGGCAAGCACAATAACCACACCGAGTTTGGTACAAATTGGTAGAACGGTTACCGATATACATATATGTGATCATAAGTGGGCGGTGCCA